TTCCACCAAAAGTACCCCTGAACCTAGACAAATAGACTTACTTACAATTCCTGGATTGTCTCCCTTCAGAGTATAAACTTTCTCTTATTCTCTATCTAATACTCTCTTGCTTAGGTTAGGCACTTCTTTCTGATAGATGCTGTCCTGAAGGTTTCTCTCTACTTTGCTTCTAGAATACCTGTCAAGTATTACAGCTAGTTTTCTTTTCTGTCCTATTAGATTACACACTTGAGAGTAAGGTTTATGGCTTTTATTCTCCATGCCTTGCACAGGAGAATGTAGAAGTATGAAATAGTGTAGTTGAGTTAAATGGGAATAAGAGTACATAAAACTGACTGATAACAACTGATGATGCTCTAATCAATCAACCTTGCGGAGCAAGAAGTTAGATAACTTGTTCAAGAACACACCAATAGAAGTAGTGGTGCCAAAGTCCCTCAGACTCCTAGACAAGTACATTTTCTATCCTAGTGAACTCCTCAAAGGGTCCAATTTCAAACGTTTCTTAGAATAAATCTGCTACTTTAATGTTTATTGACACTTTCAAAAATAATGGCATTTCTCTGGAATGTATGGCTGTCTCCATAAACAGCTGCTTCTTTTACCACAGGACCAAAAGAACTGGATAGCGCCTGGCTACTATTATTACATTATGGGAGAGAAGGATGGGCAATATCCTCCCAAGCAATGTACTGCCTTGATACTCACTGGAGGGTCTGGTATGAGTCAATTCTGACTCACTGGAACATAACAACATCATTTTAAAAAAAACATTCTGATCAAAGATTCCATAGAAGAATTCTGACCCAAGAACCGGGGATGTAGAACAGAATTTCAAATTCTTAAAGACTCCAAACTTTGATAGTAGTAAAGCTGGATGAGCCTAGAAACTATTACCCTGAAATAATCTTTAAACCTTAAACAAAAAATTGCACCAGAAGTCATCTTGATAATCAATTACTTGATAATCAATTACTAAGGAGCAATGATGTCAATTTGAAGGTTAAGGTGTATCTTCAGGCCATGGTATTTTCAATAACTTCTTATGCATCTGAGAGCTTTGACAATACATAAGGGTGAGAGAAGAACAACTGATGCCTTTAAGTTGTGGTATTGGTGAAGGGCACTGAATATCCCATGGCTTGCCAAAAAAACCAAACAGATATGTTTGGGGAGAAAAATGCAGCCAAAGTGCTCATTAGAGGCAAGGATGGCAAACTTCATCTCACATATTTTTAGCATGTTGCTAGGACAGGTTATTCTTCAAAAAGCATTATCATGCTTGGAAAGGTGGAGGGTCAGCTAAAGAGAGGAAAATCTTCAACAAGAAAGATTGATACCGTGACGACAGCAATGGGCCCAAATTTGTCAGAGATACTAAGAATGGCACATAGGGTCACTGTAAGCCACACTCAACTCAACAGCCCCTAACAACTACTGCTTACTATCAGAGAAGTGCAACCAGAGTGCTCTTTAGAGTCAAGAATTGTGAAACTTGGTCTCACATACTTATCTTTGGGGAAAAACATTATGCTGGGAAAGGTGGATCAGAGAAAAAGAAGACCCTCAATAAAATGGACTGAAATAGTGACCAAATAGGGTCAAGTGTTTGGGTGATCTTTAAGGACAGTGCAGAATAGATAATGTTCCAATCTGTTGTTCACAGAGTCACTAAACCTAAGTCCTTATGGACTCAGTGGCACATACCATTATCATGCAGGTTCAAACTGAAAAGAGCAAGTCTAAAGATTAGATAAGAGCCTTAGGGAAGCAATGTTGTTGTTATGTGCCTTCGAGTCATTTGCGACTCATAGCGACCCTATGTACAACAGCCCTAAACCGTGCTCTATCCTGTGCCAATCTCATTGCCTCTGACACACCCATCCCGATTACCCTAGTCACTGAATCAATCCACCTCATAGAGGGTCTTCCCCTCCTGCACTGTCCCTCCACTCTACCCAGCATGATGTCCCTCTCTAAAGACCTGTCTCTCCTTACAACATGTCCAAAGTATGTCAGATGAAGCCCCAGAATCCTTGCCTCCAAGGAGCAGCCTGGTTTAACCCTCTCTAGGATGAATCTGTTTGTTTTCTTGGCAGTCCATGGTACATTCAATACTCTTCTCCAGCACCACAGCTCAAAGGCGTCAATTCTCCTTCTATCCTCCCTAGTCATTGTCCAACTCTTTGATGCATAACAGGTGATTCCAAAAACCATGGCCTATATCAGGCACACCTTAGTCTCCAGAGAGACACCGCTGCTCTTGAGTACTTTAGAGAGGTCCCTAACAGCAGACTTTCCCATCGCAATACGTTTTTTGATTTCCTGGCTACTGATGCCAAGAGTGTTGACTGTGGAGCCAAGCAAACTGAAGCTGTGAACAATCTCAATCTCTTCGCCATCCATCCTGATGCTACCGATTGGTCCAGTGGTGAGAATTTTTGTCTTCCTGACATTGAGCCTCAGTCCATACTGAAGGCTGCAGTCCTTGACCCTCTGCAGTAAATGCATGAGGTCCTCCTCAGTTTCAGCGAGCAGGGTTGCGTCATCTGCATAACGCAGATTGTTGATAGATCATCCACCAATCCTAACGTCACGCTTCTCCTCATAGAGCCCAGCCTCTCGGATAATCTGCTCTGCATACAGGTTGAAAAGGTATGGAGATAGGACACATCCCTGGTGTACACCCTTCCCAATTTTGAACCATACAGTATTGCCCTGCTCTGTTCTGACAAGTTTATGTTAATGAGAGTAACAATTCAGAAAACAAAGATATTGTACAACTCAAAAACTCAAATGCCTGACTTCAAACATAGCCACCAGTGAGAGTCAGCGTCCAGAGCCATCAGGGGCTTTAAGCTTGTTGCCCACTGCTGTGGTGTGGACAGCTGAAACACAGGCCCCAACAGGCACCTGGGGGGGGAGGGGGAAACCCAGACTCTACTTCATGCTCTGCTGGAGAAGGAGGAGCAGTCTCCTGTACCAGTCAGATCCAATTTGACGGTACACACACACACACTTTCTTCTTTTTTAAAAAAAGACTACTTCAGCCGTCGCGGCCCTCTGCCCGGGGCGCGCTGCCCTCGGCCCCCAGTTTGGGGCAAGCGGTCACGGCCCCCTGCCCGGGGCAAGCCGTCGCGGCCCTCTGCCCAGGGTGGGCTGTGCTTGGCCCCCAGCTCAGGGCGAACCGTAGGGCCCTCAGGAGCAAGAAGGCAAGCAGCTGTAACCCAAGACCACCAGTAAGGTGATAAAGCGTCCTCCCTTCCCCCCTTTATATCTACGCCCCTGTTCAGCATGAAGAAGCCAGAGAGTCGGCATCCAATTCCCAAATCAATAAGACAGTTGGTTTAATTACTATTGGAAAATGCTTGTCATTCCTCTGTAGCATCTGGTCCCCACTGGACCCTCATCATTTCCTTCACCTGCTCCCCCCACCGACCAAACTGTGCAGCTCTGCAACTGCATCCTGGCCCATCCTCACCCTTCTACCCCCAACCCTCACCTCCTTGTACCCCCAATATGTTTTTCCCAATAAAAAAAATATTCAAAAAAAAAACCCTCAAATGTTACTGAATTGTACATGTTGAAACAAACTGGTGTACTGCTGTGTATATTCTCAACCACAAAATAATAAAACTGGAGGGGAGGAATGGAGTTTCTGATGCTTTATCACACACTACAAAGGAATTACAGCCTAAAGTGAATATGACTTATGTTTTCCAAACTTGCTTTTTAACAGCAAATTAAATTCAAAAGGATACATTTTTAAAAAGAAAGGAAAAAAAGATTCAACTAATAAAGGGCAGGGTGAGGTAATTTCTATAACCATTACTAAGAAGAAAGGACTCTTCAACAGCAGCCCACATGTTCACGGGCAAGAACATCTAAATTACCTGAGCCAACTACTAGCTTCCAAGATAAATCAAGGTGTGTACTCCTAAATATCCATCTTTAAAATTAAGTCATTTGAAACATCTTAGGTGCCATTTCCCCATTCAGTGCTCAGATCTGAATCCATTTCTGTCATGGCATCTACAATTACTTCATCAACCAGTTACTCTTCAAGTATTTACTGAACTCCAAAAAGCCACTATGCTATTCCGCCATGAAATACAGGGAGGTGGGGAGATGGGGAGGAAGTCTAGTCCTTGTAAACTATATACAAAAAGAATAAAAACACAACGTATATTGAGAACTCAAGTAAGAGTCAGAGACATGAAGAGGCAGTGGCTGCTACAAAATCCTTGACCTGGTTTTTTAAAAAATACTTGCTAAAATGATAAACTCTCGTCTATAACAAGAAACTTCCTTCCGCGATTTGCTTTCATCTTCATTCCTAGACAAAATAGAGAATATCTAGGAGTGAACACCGTATTAAGGCGTTCAGTGGTCCTACTTTCCCTTATTTTTTTTTTTTTGTTTTTGTTTTTTTCTATTTTTTCTCTTTTTTTCTACTTTCCCTTAATTTCACTCAGTCAGCAAGAATGTAGTACTGAGCATCGATGGCACTGTGCTGGCAAAGTAAAAAATGAAATTGTGCTATTAGTTGTCAATCTCCTAAACTCTAATAATAGTTCTCTATTTAACGCTACGGTTACGAACTGCCTTACTGATCTCTGAAAAAAATCCAAAGCATCTCCGAACACTAAGGGACCACATTTTCACATGGGGAAACTGAGGCCTGAAAATGACTTGCTCAAGGTGCCACTGTGCATCTATCAGTGACAGAACTCCAATCTGTGCCCCACGTGCTGCCGCTCCCGGACAGGAAGCGGCTGCAGGTGGTCAAGGAGGGAAAACAATGATCGCTTGTCATTCTCCCCCTAGAAACCAAAACCAATCCCAAGACGGGAGAGGCTGCCTCAGTTTCCCCGAGGAAAGGCGGCTGCACAGCCTGTCAGCGCACTCCTGCATTTCTCTTCAGGTCCTCCCGTCCCGCCTTCTCCAACTCCAACCCCGGGGCCCTGGAAGCGACTGCTGAAATTCACTTCTTCACTCACAAGGACTCGTACGAGCAACGCCATGTTCATCAACAATCACTTCCGGGTGAAAGGTGGGTTTCCGGACTCCCCGCAACCCCTACCCTCTCACACGTTGTCCTTTTGCCAACCGGAGCAGGATCCAGGGGCGCAAGCGCACAGAGGCTACAGCGTGCACGCGCGCGCGTTCCCCTGGTGCACGAGGCCACCGGGCGCGCGCCTCCTGCCGTCTCCTCCCCATACACGTCACAGTGCGCCCCGCCCCCGCCAGTGCCTGTCTTTTGTGACCTCTGGTCTAGGGCCCTTTCCTCTTACCCAGCTCCTTATCTCTCAGCACGCTTTTGTGAGGATTTCTAGGAGTCACCGCTTCCTCCTCCTCGACTCCTCCTGGAAGATTCCTTTTTTTTTTTTTTTTAAATCTGTAGCAGTACTTAGTTAGTGTCCGGCAGAAACCACTCCGTCTGCTGAACAGTATCTCGACTGCGAAGCTTCTCTGCCGATGGATAATGGCATGGCCGGGCCATTACCGCTGTGGCAGCAGTACCCAGGCGCTGTCAGAGGAAAAGTGCACATGGAACTGCTGGCCTTGGGGCAGCCATGCCTCAGCGTCCTCTGATCATGCTTTCTCTGCGAGTCGGCGGTGAAGATTCTTTTTTTTTTTTTTCCCCCACTGGGCTTTGAAAACAGACAGGAGTAGGAGAGCCTCCCTTTTAAGAGGGGCCTCAGAGGGAAGATCTGATGATCTGCTTCAAAAAAAAAAAAATCAGAAAAACTCTACAAAGCTTAGTTGTATTCTGACCTACATGAGGTTGCCGTGAGTCCCGTGGACTGGAAGGCAACTGTTTTATGGTTTCATTTTTAAAGGCAAGCGCAAGCAAGTGTCACACTCTGCCCAAGTCCTGGTAGAGGCAGAGGTGGAAGGAGGGCTTGAGAGTCTTGTTTATTTATTTAACATCTTTGAATATTGATAGGACACAATCAGTAAAGATAAGAGATACAATGGAAGAATCAAATGTGCAGGACATTTCCTGAGGTAAAAGAATGGCCTTGGCTCAAGGGCAACTTTTCTATTGCATTCCAAGAGAAATAGAAGGTGTGTACACTCCTGGGTTGCCTGGAAAGAAATGAGCAAGATGGTGAAAGACTGTCTTCCTTTTGATTCAGTCAACAAAGACTCAGTCTGCTGGAGACAAGATGAATGTGGATACTGGCTTCATAGTGTATTGAAAGGTGAGAGAAGCATCTAAAAGTCTAATAAAGCAATGGGGGGAAAATATTTGTTTTGAGTGCTAGGAAAAACAGCAAAGAGCTAAACTAGAATTAATGTATGGCTCTAGTTTAGACAGTGTGGCCAGGTAAGGTCTCTCAGGTGATATGTTAGGGAGCTGACAGAGGCAGTTTCTTCATTCACGCTATTTTATCTTCAAATATTTAGGTTGGGAGTGGGAAATAAGATTCTAGAATAAGAGTATTGATGAGAAAGAAAAAAGGATCTATTTCAAGAACCTAAGACCCTCAACAAGATGGATTGACACATAGTGACTAACAATGGGCTCAGGTACATCAGAGTTGATGAGGTTGGCACGTGATAGAGCAGGGTCCTGATCCACTGTTCAAAGGGTTGCTACAAGTCATCATCAACTAGAAAGTGACAAAAGGGTTTCGATCTTTAATGAAGAAGAGCTTTAACATCAATGAAAAGAGACAGGGGCGATTTCCACCTAGGAGACTTGTTATGTGCCATTGAGTCACATGTGACTCATAATGACCCTATGTAAAAAAACCCTAAACCCTGCTCTAGCCTGTGCCAATCTTATTGTCTCCAACACACCTCCTATCCCCAGCACTCCGGTCACTGAATCAATCCATCTCACCGAGGGTCTTCCTCTCCTGCACTGTCCCTCCATCTTCCCAAACATGACATCCATCTCCAAGGACTGATCTGGCCTTACAACATGTCCAAAGTATGTCAGACGAAGCTTCAGAATCCTTGCCTCCAAGGACCAACCTAGCTTCGCCCTCTCCAGGACAAACTTGTTTGTTTTTCTAGCAGTCCATGGTATATTCAGTACTCTTCTCCAGGATCACAGCTCAAAGACATCAATTCTCCTTCAATCATCCTTAGTCATTGTCCAGCTTTCTGATGCATAGCAGCAGCCTTAGAAATCCAATCAAGGGTCAACTATGAATTGATTCTGACTTGACAGGAATGAGATTGATAATGAAGTTATAGAAAACTTTCTAGAGTGACCTGGTGATAAAAAGTTGTGCTGCTAGCCCCAAGGTGGTTCAATTCTACCACCTGCTCCACAGGAGAAAAATGGGCAATCTCCTCCAGTTAGATTTACTGCCACTGAAAACAGCCTGGAGTGTTAGCTATGGGTCAGTCCCAACTCGACGGTACATAAACAACAGCAACACTAAAGAGCTCTGGAGGATTAGTGGTAAGGAATTGTGCTGCTAATGCAAAAGTACATAGTTCAAATCCACCAGCTGCTCTGCAGGAGAAAGGCAGTCCTCTCCTGTTCAGTTTACTGTCTCTGAAAACTCTGAAAGGTCAGTTATGGGTCAGTTCTGACTTGACAGTACACAGCAACAACAACAGCACTACTAATGATTTTAGTATGTAAATTTGATTTGGTTTTTGTCCAGGTTGAAAGAGTTCCCTCATTATTTTTCCAAATGAATAGATCTGACAAGCCTAAATGAAGATACTTTCTGCACACAAATGTTTATCTTACATATGTGACTTGGAAACCAGTGATATTGAATGCTTACACATAAATTAGGACAAGTGGCATATATGTTAATAATGAGCTTTACCTATTTACCTGTTTGCTAGGGCCGAAATAACAAAATACACAAACTGAGTGTATTGAAACAGCAGAAATTTCCAGTCAACAATTCATGTAAAAGCAAAGGCGAGAGGGTGAGAGGACAGAAAAACCAGATTACTGGAAGTAAAATGACCAGAAGGTAATTAATGAGAATATTAAAAAATTTTGAAAAATGTAACCAATGTAGGGGAGCTCTGGTGGCCTAGTGGCAAGGAACTGCAACTACAATCCCAGAGGCGCATGGTTCGAATCCACCAGATGCTCTGCCGGGGAAGGAGGGACAATCTCCTGTACCAGTCAGATCTGATTTGACGGTACACGCACACAAAAATTTAAAAAAAAAAGTAACCAATGTCTCTGAAATATATATATATTTTAAGCAGGAGTCTAACTTACTGGGTAAAGGTTAATTTATTTTTTTTTAAGAGCAGACATTCATTTTCTCACAGTCCTGGAGACTAGGAATTCAAAATCAAGGTGTCAGCAGAGCTCTCTGAAAGCTCGAGGGAAGAATCTGTTTTTACCTTTAGCTTATGTTGGTTCCAAGTTTTCCTTACCTTGTAGACCTATCACTCTAATCTCTACCATGTCTACACCTGGGCTAGTCTCTGTGTATCTCTCTATGTCCAAATGTTCCTCTCTTTGCTTTCTTTTCTCTTGTAAGCAGCTCTGGTGGCCTAATCCATAGGGAGTTGAACCGCTAACCCACAGGTGCTCCCCAAAAGAAAAATGGAGGGGAGCTCTGGTGGCCTAGTGGTAAGGAGCTGCAACTACAATCCCAGAGGCACACGGTTCAAATCCACCAGATGCTGGGAAGGAGGGACAATCTACTCCTGTACCAGTCAGATCTGATTTGACAGTACACTCACACAAAAATAATAAAGTAAAAATTAAAAAAAAAAGAAAAACGAGCCATCACCTTTCAGGTGATTTACAGCCTCAGAAGCCCAATAGCGAGTCAGCTCTTCCTACTTGATGACAATGAGTTGAGTTTTCTCCTACAAATACACCACTCATTAGATTTAGAGCTTACTTTACAATCAAGATATCTCAAGATCCTTAAGTAGTTGCATTTGCAAAAGCCAAAAGCAATAATCTGAGAGCTAACCAATGAATAAGGATGATAGGAGAAGAATCAATGCATCTGATTTGTGGTGTTAGAGAAAAGTGCTGAATGTCTCATGGGATGCCAAAAGAACAATTAGGTCTATCTTACAGAAAGTCCAACCAGAGTGTTCCTTGGTGACAAGGATGCAAGATTAACAAGATGACCAAGGACCAGATCATGGCTTTGTCAGTTATAGAAGAACTGGATTCTATTCTGAGTGTGTCCTAGTATATTTGATCCTCATTTGTTGCAGACCGAGGGTAAAGTATTTTTATAATTATTAATAAGGAGACACACTACTAGGAATGATATAGAACAGAGAGCATGAAAAACGGGGCCAGCAGTTCCATGATTGAAGGCCTCAAGCCATGCCTCTCTAGGTGTTTATTGAGAATCATAAGGAAGGTAAACAAAGTAAAATCATAAGGAAGTACAAAACAAAAACAAGGGATAATGAAATCTTTTGCAGATAAGGCCAAGTTTCTCTTTATGCTTATTTCAGGACACAGGGATTCAGTTAATACAAACTAAGAACAATGTTGACTTTTAGGGAACACCTTCGTGCCACAAGGTGACCTTCAGTTAGTATTAAATCTCCCTCATATCCTGATACAGCATTTGGTTTATTATTAATATTAAATTTGATATTAAGCTCCCCACACTCATTCATATTTGTAAATTTGCCTACTCATTAAAATTTATTTATAATCCCCAAATCAATACTCTTGGCCCTTTGACTATCATTTGCAGACATGTACAAAGTGGCATCCAACCTACATGTTCCCAGTTGAGGTAAAGCAAGGTGCAGTCTGCCTTCTTGTTCCAGCTTTCATACTGTAAATGTGTCCTTTTTGTAGTCTACCACGTTTTTCATATCCTTGTGCTTTTTCTTGATGATTTTGTTTAAAATAGCCTCCAAGCATGGTATTGGATGTGCTGTCTAGTGCTTCAAAAGATGAAGACTATGATGTGCTTCACAAAGAAAATACAGTCTTAGATAAATTTTTTTTCAGACATGAGTTATGCATACTTTGTTATTAAATCAAACACTCACATATATCTTTAAACAGAAATACACATACAAAATAAGGGTTATATATTGA